GGAAACCTTGAGTGGCAGTATGATAATGAAGCCAGCTGAAATGAAGTTTAGTTAAAAAATGTCCAGTGAGATCAGCAGTTCTCTAGGGGCCTTGTTGTCTCCTGTTCAGTTGTATCAGGAGCTGTTGCCTGTGCTGGCACTTAGAAGCATGTGTGAATATATAATAAGGTGGCTACAAAGGGTAAAAGCAGCTTCCCAGTCTGAATCTAACATTATGTTTTAATGGACAAAGCCTTTCTGCAAAGAAAGTTGCAAAGTTAAGAAGAAAGAAGAAGGGACAAAAAACAGAGAACCAACTCAAAACTTAAAAATAAGGCTGAGGTGGGGTGCTGCTTGCAAATGATTTTTTTTGCAAATCATAGCAAAAAAACCCTTTTCTGTGTACATTGCTTCAATGTTCTCTTTAACTCAAGGAAAGTTTAACTGGCTTGGAAAAGGGCTAGATTAAAAACTGTTTGAAGTTTTTAAGGCCCAAAGAAAGGCGAATGCTGCCACAAGCAGTTGGTTTCTGGTCACTGGTTGTATTCCCAGGGCTCAGGATTGGGCCCAATCTGGTTTAATATCTTTATCAATGATCTGGAGTGTTCCCTCAGTAAGCTTTCAGGTGACAACAAGTTGGATGTGAGTGTTGGTCTGCTGGAGGGCAGAACAGCTCTGCAGAGGCATCTGGAGAGGCTGGATTAATAGCTCAAGGCCAATGGAATGAGGTTCAAAATGGCCAAGCACTGGATCCTGTCCTTGGGTCACAACAACCTCATGCAGAGCTACAGGCTGGGGATGGAGTGTCTGGAAAGTGGCCCAGCAGAGTGCTGGCTGACAGCAGCTGACCATGAGCCAGTGTGTGCCCAGATGGCCAAGAAGGCCAATGGTGTCCTAGCCTGTATCAGTGATAGTGTGGCCAGCAGGACAGTGATTGTCCTCCTGTACTTGTCACTGGTGAAGTCACACCTCAAGTCCTGTGTCCAGTCCTTTTCCACTCACTACAAGAAGGACATTCAGGTGCTGGAATGTGTCCAGAGAAGGGCAACAGAGCTAGGGAGGAGCCAGAGCTAGGAGAGACTTACAGTGTAAGTCCTACGAGGAGTAGCTGAGGTAACTGAAGGTGTTCAGTCTGGAGAAAAGGACGCTCAGGGGAAACTTATCACTCCCTACATCTCCCTTGGAGGAGGTTGTAGCCAGGTGAGGGTCAGCCTCTTCTCCCAGGCAACCAGTGACAGGAGGAGGAGACATAGCCCCAAGCTGCACCAGAAGAGATTCAAGTTGGACATCAGGAAGAGTTTCTTCACTGAAAGGGTGTTTAAGCTTCGAAATAGACTGCCCAGGGAGGTGGTGGAGACACTATCCGTGGGGCTGTTCATTAAATGACTGGGCATGACACATAGTGTTATGGTCTAGTTGTCAGGGTGGTGATCAGTCAAAGGTCGGAATTGATGATCTTGAAGGTCTTTTCCAACCTAAATGATTCTGTGATTCACCGTTATTCTTGTACGTGTAAACACTTGTACATTCATCTGTTCTTATCTTCATACTGATCTGTGTAAGTGGACTTCAAAACATATTTGTGAGAGGCCCAGGCATTGCTCTTATAGGAGTTATTGACAAGGATATTTTAGTACCTGTTTTCTCAAGTTCCTATGCTTGTTCGGATATTTTCAGTTTTCTCCTTTTTTGCAGAACTATTGCTGCTCCTCAGAGTTTTGTTGCACTGGCTGCCAGGTAAATTCAGGCTGTTGTCAGCATGGAGACCAGCCAGTATACAAGTCAGAGGTAGGTTAAAACCTTTGATTTCTCTTTTAGTGCCAGGTATGCACTACCAACCTGTTTCTGAATATATGATAGGGGAGCCATGTGGGTCAGATGCCTTCTCACAGCCCAGTCCTTTTTCTCCCCTGCAGTAAAATAAACTGTGGTGCATCTCCATGATCTGTAGCAGAGAATTGACTCCTTCAAGAGGCAGGGTAAGCATTCAGCCACTGTTCTTAAAAGAATTGCCAAAAAGGTGCTTGTCTGGGTCTGACTTTGACACTGTATTCCTTATTCACCCAAAAGAGCCATAGTTAGTATGTGTCCCACAAATAAATAAGAAGGAGACTATGTGGAGCAAGACAAAAGTGTCTCTCGGTCTTGCTGTCCTCACTTCTGTTAAGAGGTGCCATATGCCTTGTTAAGTCCATGCTGAAATAAGTAGGCTGCAAAAAGTAGAACATTGCTAGAGGCAGGGAACGAACACTGATTCTGAAAAACTGAATACTGACTGAACTCAAGGCAATACACAGAACGCTGACAGCTCTGCAAGGCGGTGCTCAGCAACAGCAAGGGGTGATTTCCATCACCAGCACACATTCACATAGATAACTAAGCACATTTCTGCTCACAAATCCTTGCAGTGCACTAACTGCAATCACTTCTTAGAGTCATTCCAAAGGAATAGGGGAATACAGCAACTCATAATTAATCCTAAAAGTACATGTTTTCTAGGGTGGTGCTTTTTGAGATTATTTTTTTTATTGTGTAATTTAATATGAAGAAATCAGCTGAAAATGTCTAGAAGTTAGGTGAATTTTTGCTTCTAACACTGATTTTAACATTTAACATGAAATGACTGCAGGGGCAATAGATAACTAGTTGGAAAAAATTACAATTACAAGGGAAAGGCACATGCAAATGTCTTCAAGGGACAGTTCAGAAACATTTTGTTTTATCCCCATTTGTTTCTTTAACTGCCCGCATTAAGGTACAGTAGAGTTTTGGACTTCAGTGCAGTGGTTACTGTGTCAACAAAAATAATTTCCCTGTTGTTAGAATTTAGTCAGGGGTTGTTCCATTTTATTAATGTTCTACAAATGTCATAGAACAAAGAGTATTTTTATCAAGCATGTCCATAAATCTTCAACTATCTAGCTCAGAGCATAAAACAAAAGGAAGCAAGAAAACCCAACTCTGAACTTAAAGCCAAGTTAAATGAAAAAAATTCTATGAACCCTTGCAAACTCCTCAGTTTGACAATATAAAATGAAGCAACGAGGCAACCAATGATCAACCACTAAAAAAAGAGATTCTCAAAACTGCCTAGCCTTGGGTCCTGCAGTTAAGTTATGGGTACCTCTGGGGAGCACAGCTGGATTTTACAACTTTTGGCACATTTCCCTTGATAGAAGTGGGAGGCTTTTTATCCTGCTTATAAAATCTCTGCAAAGAGTGTGAATACTAATATTAGAAGCACTTGCATCCTATCATGTCAGCCTGACTTTGGTTTCAAAATGCCGAAATCTAAGATTGAACACAGGCTCTTCAATCACATTAAACTGAAGGTTCTGTCTTATAATATTTCATATTCATCTTGGTTAAACATAGATATACTAATTGTCATCCTTTCTCCAGATTATGCCAATCATTTAAAAATGGTATTTGCTATCAACCATGTATGACAAACCTATGGCTTGTAACTGGTGGAAAACTTGAGAGGTGGCTGAACAACTTTGCTTCTTGCAATTGCTGAGGATTTAAAAATAAAATCATGGTACTTATGATAAAGAATAAAATTTCACTTCTCAGTCTTTTGAAGATTTCTTTGGAAACATAAAACAAACAAAGGGTTACTTGTACTGAACTAATGTTCCACTTCTGTCTTCTTTCCACTTAAAAAGATTCCTAAAATCTGGAAAAACTTGCCCCTCTTGCTCTAAGATACTGCCCCTGAAAGAAACATAACCACATTGTTATTAAAATGGCATCAAGAATAGCTAAGGAATCTGTTCTTGGAAATTAGCTTTGTGTTATCTACAAATATACAAGATGAGAATGACAGTGGCTAGAGGTTCATTATATCTGGCAGTATGTCAGCCTTTTTGAGGCTATCATGTTTTAAACATTATTTTAGTATTATAAATCCCCATATTATGCATGAACAACTGTAGTTTACTTGGCATTGGAGAAGAGTTCATTCCTAGTAACAGTGTTTGTATGTTTTAATTCACTTGTATAAAGAGTAAGATGACCATATTTCCCAAGGAGTCTGCAGAATGTATTATACTCTTTATTTGGCCCAGTACACATTAACATTTTAACATTATGTTTGAAATTAATATCAGGGCTAACAAAACTGATTCTCTCTCTTCAAGGTAGAACTCAACTCCTCCATGCCAGCATTGACTAGTGGGTTGCCTTCCCTGTGTGAGAGCCAGGGCTGTATTACAGTAAACTGGTCCAGTGTGATATCACAGATATAAAAAATATTCCATTCTGTATCAAAACTAGGCACATGCCTTATATTTATATGAAGAGTAGATCGACAGAGTTGAGTGGTTTTGCTCTCAGCTATTCAGCTCTGGCCTTCTACATGAGGAGAAAAATATCCTATATTATTTCTAATTAGTAACTACAAGGATCTAATTTGGGTTTTTATGGTAGTTAAAAGATGGGTGACATCACACTTGGGTCAGTATTGGTGGATATCTAAAAGTACAACCTCTCATTTGTATTGCTTCAAAATGTACACAGTATAGATGTAGATTAAAAAAAAAAAAAAAAGCTACCAATTTTTTTTGTGTTGAACCAACTAGAAGGGAGGATGCAAAGTTTTACCAAATGAGATATATGGATATAAATTTCATTGTCGAGTGTGGTTTAGACAAATGTGTCTTTTTCTTTAAGTATGTAAATCCTACACTGTAGGTTTTTTTCTTTTCCTTTTGTAGCAGTAGAAAATGTTGAACAATTGTCCATGAGCATGAGCCAGTGGTTCATTGCTGATATCCCCAGAATGCCAATATTTGCAATGCAAACAGTTAGTACAATTTCCCAGTTCTATGAAAGGCCCTGACACATCTGCCTCAAGGTCTGGAGGCTCTGTTGTATAACCACAAATAGTCTTTCCATTTTCATATAACCTTTTGATACACTGACAGCTGCATTAAGCTGCTTCTGCCTAGCAATTCCACACGCCAGGCTGTTTTAATTGGTTTTAATGCCACAGAAAAAGCACTGCTAGCAGAATACCATCAAATCATTTTCATATTGAACCTTCGTGGTCCAGAAACCTCCCCTTCAACCACAGCACCATTGTTTTTGCGAGGGACATATTCAAGGTCAATGCTGGTTTTGTGTTTGCCTTTCCCTCGGCTCCACACAAAAAGAAGAAGGAAACAAAATAAAACCACTCCAAGGAATGTGAAACAGCCCATAGCTGTGGACACCAATATTGTCTTAAGGTCCAGAGAGTAGCTGTTTGCATTAGTTCCGTTAGAACTTGTGTCGTTGGAGTCTGTCATATACATAGGGGTCCTGTTGGCATAAAGGAAACGGTCTGAAGTAAACCCCTTTACTGTCAGGGAGGCCGAGTAGGTGTCATTCCCAGCTGCGTTACTTGCAATACAGACATAGACCCCAGTGTCCTGGTCTTGGGCAAATCGGATCTCCAGGGTGCCATCTCCCAGCACAGTGGCTCTACCATTTGATTTAGTTGTGATCAGCCTCCGGCGTGGGGTAACCCAGGAGATGGTAGGCTGTGGGTCCCCATCAGCATTGCACATCAGCTGCACGGTCTGTCCTTCCTCCACTACCAGGTACTGCAACTTCTTGTCTTGTATCTTGGGCTTCTTACAGGTGAAATAAAAGGAGAGAGCTGTGCTGTGAAAGTCTCTGAATGACCTCTCTCTGACACTGTCTGGGCCAGCACACATTGGTGGCTCGCCACCAAACTGCAAGGTGGGCTGCCGCTGCAAAATCCAGAGAAGACGACAGTCACAGGCCAGAGGGTTGTTGTTAATGCAGAGGACCTCAAGGCTTTTGGAGGAATGGAATACATTCTCTTCTAGGGTTTCTAACAGGTTTTGGGACACGTTAAGCACGCGTAAGAATCGGAGCCCTTGGAAAGCATGTGGTTCAATGGTGCGCAGCTGTGCCCCCACCATGTGGAGCTCCTGCAGGCGCACCAAATCCGACAGCATGCCTGCCTCAATGGTGCTGATGGGGTTGTAGGAGAGGTTGAGATGTGTCAGGTAAACCAGATGTTTAAAAGCAGAGTAAGGTACTGCAGACAGGTTGGTGTTTGTGATGGATAGAGAAGTCAGGTTGAGACCGTACAGACTGTTGGCAGGCAGCATGTCCAGGAGGGGCCAGGCCTCTATCTGCAGGTCCTTCAGGCGAAACAGTCTTTTAAAGGCGTATGCCGGCAAAGCATTAATGTTGAGCTGTTTCAAATGCAGGCTGATGAGGTTGTGGAGGTGAGAAAGAGCTTCTGTTGGTACAGCTGTGAGGTTGCATCTCTCCAGGGTGAGCTGCTCCAGGCTAAGCAGCCCACTGAAGGCCCTGTGTGATATGTACACCAAATCATTGTCCCCAACCTCCAGGGATTTTAGGTTATGCAGATCTTGAAACATGTAGTCCAGCAAAATGACAATCTTGTTTTCACTTATATCAAGCTTTGTTAAGTTTGACAACCCAGTGAACACCCCAAGGGGAACCAGCTTCAGACGGTTTCCTTTCAGCCTCAAGGAGCGCAAGTTGAAGAGATTGTTAAAAGCTCCAGGCTCAACGTTGGAGACAATATTGTCGCTGAGGTCAATCTCCTCCAGCAACGGGTATGATGTGAATTCCTCAGGGTTAACGCTTTTCAGTCGGTTCTTGCTGAGGTCCAAGATTTTGGTCTCAATGGGAATGCCTTCTGGGATGGACATCAGACGTCTTCGGTGACAGCTGACAGACTTGTTTTGTGCTGAGCATTCACAGCGGGCTGGGCAGCCCGCAGTGGGGCTTGTGAAGACAAGCAGCACAGCCAGACCCAGGAACAGCTGCCAGCATGATAGAGCTCTGTGACGCATGACTCCACTGATCTGGGCTAACCCTCCGTCACGGGCCTGTGGGGTGAGGATGGGAAAGGGGAGAAGTTAAGTCTGCAGAAAAATAACAGTACCATTGCAAAGCAAATGCATGTGTTTTCATATTGAGCAAATCAATAAAACCTATTGTGAATGTCATGACCTACATAAAGCAGATTTTACTTCAGTATCATGGGGTTAGTCAAAGGATTTGTGTATCCAGCATTTACCTCCAGATGTTGATGAAGACAAAACAGCTTTTCCTACTGCAAACAGTAGAAGACTTTTCAGTCTTTTCTCAATCTCAGTAAGTTTCCTCAAGACAGTTCTATAATTAACCCAGAGATAAATACCATTCAGTATGCAAAAAGGGCTTATAGCATTTGCGATAAATTTACAGCATTGGATTTCTGTGAGGTGATATGAAACCAAGCTTTTGCCTCCCATTAGTGTTTTAAGGCAAATGTTAATGATGTATTATAATCAAGAAAAGGAGGTCTTTGACAATGAAAAGATTCCTCTTATCATTTTTTGCATATATTACAGTTATAAAGAGATGAAGCTTGTTCATGCATACACATACGCAATGGCTCAGATGAAGAAGGAAGAACTGGTGCATCTCTGATTAGAATTTATAATAGGTCAAATTGATTCTTTGCTTTTTACTGCACAGAGATATTTTTTGTGACTGTTTAGAACCCAAGATCCAAGAAGGGTTTGTAGAATACATCTTTGTGCTTCCAAGACATATAAACTAGTTTCAGGAAGACAAAAACAAGGTAAGATGAGCTGTCTATATAAGCAGCACAGTGTCCAAAGAAGCACCACAGATTTAATGAAAATCACAGTTTGTAAAGGATTTATTCATTCCTACCTTCAGGTTAAAAATGAGGATAGAAGAAGGCAAGATACCTTCTACTAGAGTAGCTACCCTTGTCCAAGCAATGCACTTTTCTGGTTTAGTCACCAAAGGCAAAAGACTTTTTTTAAGTCTACTTAGAAGCTACTAAATGAAGACAAACAATTTCAAACCCATTTCAAAAGAAGAAGAAGAAAAGGATATAGGTGTTCATCAAAGGAAGGTGTGTTTGAGATGTTCAGAGTAAAGCAAACTGCAAGCAAGGACCATGGAAGTGCCTTAACTCCTATGGTACAGCCAACTTGATGAGGCTAAGGTATAGTGCTGGGATACAGGCTTCAAAATATTAATAAGCCTTATAATGGGCCTCAGGCTTGTGATGACTTTTCTGTATTGTTTAATTTGGGCTTCATTTTAATTGTACTTGTAAAAATACTTAAATAACTCCCACCAGCAACTACCTCTTGGACCTGCACAGATGATTATGGCCCATCTGCTCCAAGGTACAATGACAAAATTACCCAATAGCTAAGAATCCACCAACTTATCTGCCTCTTTGGGCTTTGAGGATCATCTGGATACTGTGTAAGAAATTTGTAAATTGCATTTGAATCAAATTTTTTTTGTCTATGTGTTGTCACATGGATTGTAACATAAAAGAAATCCTCCCATACATAGAGGATAAATGCATTTAAACAAATACGGTATAGCTAAATTGATGAGGCAATCAGACAGCTATTTGAGCAAATAAGCTCTTTGAAGCACATCAAAATAGTCCTGTGTAAATCACAGACTGATGAAAAAGAAAGTCCCACCAGTAACTCTGCTACAGCAACATTGCACTCTGATGGTACACAACTTGGAATGTGATAACTCGCCCAATAATCCTTCCTGATGGAGAAGAGTTGCACTCAGACTGTGGAAGATCAGAACAGTGGAGATTCAAGATACAAGAAAAAGAGCAGATATTTGGATCTATTGATCTAATTGTATCTAAAAAATTTCTAAACAGGAACTCTGAGGTTTGGATTGTACGCATTTGGACTGTTGTAACTGGACTGAGAAATAAACAGCTGTTGTGCTGTGACTGTTACAAACTAAACTGAGTGAAAAAGCATCTATCTTGGAACTTCGTATAAATTGTGCTCTTTGTCTGACCAGACATGAATGATGTGCATATTACTCCTCCCACAACAACTCTGTGGAAGAATTTCACTCTTGACTGATGTGGTTTTGTATTTCCATTTTTACACTTCTATGCAGAGACTATTAATGTGAGGCACACTGCATGCTGGTTTTGATGTATAGACTGGAGACTGGATGAAAATTACTCTGTATTATATTACTTATAAAAGCACATTTCCACTTTGTTCTAGAAGGACAACCTACTGAGATTCAGTTTCCCCCTTAAATTGTAGTCTTGCAAGTAACTATTGCTAGTTATCTCCAGCTGTGACAAAGGTTTTCAGAGATAAACTTGACTTCATTAGGCACTAGCTTAAAACTGGAAACCAACAGGAATTCTGAGTTAGGTGTTTTCAATGAATTTAGATCAGAGAGGCTTCTGGGTGCTCCGATCATTACTTTCAGAGCTCAGTCTGTGAAGTTAGTGCTTTCATAGTGATACTTCTACCACACAGGGATTTCATTTCCTACTGTGTCCATCTAATAATGTATGAAGCACAAAGTAAACAGGTTCAGTGGAAGATGAGCATCCTGGAGTGTTTGGTTTAGATAGTGAAAATATGAAACACTTTTTGCAGCTATCCAATCCACCTGGTAACTAAAACTTCTGAGGAGTACTAAGTAGAAGGTAGACAGTATAAAAGATGATAAAAGGCTTTTTTGACTATGGCTGGAATATAGAAAAAGCAATTCAAAAATTAACAGTAGTCTTCTGCAAAGGTATGTGGAAAGATAATGAGATAGATATATATTTATCTGTAAGGGTGGATACATGTGTGTGTATGCACTTGAAGGGAAGCAAGATTCAGGACTGAGATATAAACTGGAGTGGATACATTTCAATAAGGACAAATAATAAATTATTTGACTTGATATTTGTATTAAATATCAAGTCAGAAAAAAAAAAGATTAGGTGGATCAATAAGTACAGGTTAGAAGAAAGTATAGATTAAATTTATTATTATTACAATTTACATTGAGCCAGATGATACTATCATTCTTTCTGCTAACCAAATCTGTGACTATATCCTTCACTTTGAACTGCTTTATGGAAAAATGACTTCATCTTCATTATGCAAAAAATGTAACCTTATCTCCAGCTAGGGTTAAAAGGTCTAGCAAGTAAAACACGTGGGACAAGGTAAATTCTGGGAGAAGCCTAGAGTGAATTTGATGATCTATTGCACATGGCCCCATTTGAATTAAGTGAATATAAAGTTGTATTTTCAGGACATGTCCAATAACATCACTAGCTAGGCCTACCTTGTGCCTCCAGTCTATGTACATTTTGAAAGGATATACAGTTTCATCTGTAAAGTACCTTCCATATCAGTGTGATCACAATTATTTATTGTTTATACATCCATTAATAAAAATTCTACTTTAAAAAGAAAGAAATTATGCCATTAAAAGATATTTTTCACTTCAAGATGATTTCTTGAAACGAAAAATTATTTTCTGCATTTCTTTAGACTTGTGGGATGTTAATTAATTGGTGACTTCACTGGCACAGGGTTGAATTGTTAGTGTCAGTGTTGAACATGATGACTTTCTTTCCTGCTTAAACAACCAGCACTACATACTTTATCTTTGCCAGTGTAGGTATTCCCTCTAAACATCTGTGGCATTGTCATTTGTTGCTTCCCTCTCTTCATTGTGGTACATACAGGGCAGTAAGGTGTATGAATGCAAGTATGTACACACACACACACACACAGGTAAAGGCAAGCTAGAAGTATAGTCTTACTGATCTCTGATTGTACCATGCCTTTCACTACACAATAATCCTCTAAAATTATAGCTTGTTAGATGAAAATTCAAAAAACATAAATTATTATGAACTAAGAGTTTTTCTTTGTTTGAATGTGGATGACAACATATAAAATTTTTTTCCTGTCCTTTCTGGGGTATTTGTCATGCTTTGATAGACTCTGGGAAATGAATTATATGAAGGAGTTTTTATTAAAAAAATAAAAATAAACTAATTACCTTCTTTTTGTCTTTGGCTCTGTTCTTTAAGTCCAAAGTCAAGAGTCAAGTTACTGTTGGCTGATACTCTTTTTTAAAAGAGGACCCTATTCAAGGTTCAGCTATGCAATTATGAAAGCTTATTAAAGTTATTAGTTAATACTTCTGTGTGATCTCACCCAAAACAGCCACTACTACTTTGAAATGCAAATCAGTTTTTAAAAAGTTCTGAAGCTTTGAATCTTCCCAAAAGTGCTTTACAAGAATGTACAGTGCCCTGTAGCTTTTAAATTGAAAAACTATAATTAAAAAAAAAACAAAAAAAAATCCAATGATGTCCTAGAATGCAGTGCAATTCTAAATATATATAGGAATGTGCCAAATCATGCATGTATTACATATTTTTTCACTTCTCCCTCAGACTAATTTTGAAGCCTTTAGAACTGAAAGCGATACTGCACTTGACCATGGTCCTTTCCATGTCCTATCTGATGCTGTGTCTCGTCTGCATTTTATGGGACATAGCTTTAGCCAGAAAAGGTGAGAGTCACAAGATCTGTTTCTGTCATTAGCTGCATTATCATCACTTGATGCTCTGACTTGGTAGTTTTGATCTCACCTTTCCCACCCCTTTTCTCAGCCTTTCAGACAAAATCCACCCCAGTGGATCATATCAGAGATGACAATTTTGCCTGATGGTCACTTAGTAATTTACATTCTAAAAGCCCTTTTACAAAAACATACTGTATTCAATAAATGTTCTAGGATTAAATGTTGCATGACAAAACAGACTTGTACTTATTATTCACTTAAATGCTACCAGGTAATCCTGAGAACACAGTGAACTCCCTGTTTGAAAAGTGTTTGCGGGGTTGACCCTGACTGGACACTGGGTGCCCACTGAATCTGTTCTACCACCGTCGTCCTAAACAGGACAGAACAGAAAAAAGTATAAAAAAGGGTTCACACATTGAAATAAAGCAGGGGGAGAACACTCATCAGTTACCATTGCAAGCATAACAGA